GAATTGGCCACTATCAAGACTTTCTAAAGCTGACTTTTCGAGCGTTTTCCCTTCGTTTGAGGTGACCGAATGATGACGTTCCTTCGCTCTGACAAAGGGCTAACCCTCGTAACGTCAGATTTAGAAACTCTCTAAGGTGGCCAGTTTACATTATCAATTCAGTTGATAAAACCAAATCACCTGATTACAATGAATACTAACTTCGGTGAGATGAATATCAAAGAGATAAACTTATGATATTCTCAAAGATAAAACCGGTTATCGTTTTTTTTTTGCCAAGTTATAGAATTAATTTTTTGCAACCGTTATAAGTCAAGGGCTTTGCTTATAGGACTTTAAGGGCTTGCCCTCAAGAATACGGCTATGTCATTGCTATATGGTAAAACCACTACAATAACAAGCATACCAAACAATAACAATCATAATCATAAACATGACCTAAGGATTCTCTAAAATTTTCTTGAATGCATTCGCGAGATACATGTTATTACGATACTGTTACCAAAAATTTTTATTGCTTACGAGTCTTTCAAGTCAAGGTACCTTCGAAAACAAATCAAACCTATAAAATACAACACGGAAAAAGAAAACTCGCAAGTTCGCTGCAAAGTAGAAAAGTCTTTGACGTGCGAGTAATTTTAAAATCAAACCAACCATGTACATTAATACAGGTAACCAACTTTGCCTACCTGGTGCTAAGTATCCGTCTGCCTAAAATGCTTTAAACTCACCTTCCATGAAGAGTCCGTCACTTTTTCTTGATATCGACGTAAATACGATTATCGAAAGCAGATAAAAGTGAAAATTCATGGTGCGTTTTGAAAGTGATGTCTAATGAAAACGTGAATGTACACAAAAGAATTTAAATTGGAAAACTGTTTGTTCATGTCGAAAGACTATTGATAAATAACTGTCATATTACGTCAACATCGTCTGTCCATGGGAGGTAATGAAAGAGAACTGAATACCACAACCTTTTACGCCAGTATTATGTGGAGGCGTTTTTTTTTTTTTTTTTTTTCATACTATCTTGATATTAAAAGAGCGTGACATTTTCTCAGTTGTTAAAACGTCTCAGAACGTTATGAAAGACTGAGCTGTTTGCTTCAGTGCTGAGCAAGCATTAAAGATGGTTTAGACTTTGAAACTCGGCTTCAACCAGAGGACGAGTGCAACATAAGAATTAAAGCATGAGCTCTGTTATGGGTTTATTTTCAGTCAGTCAAAAATAATGTTTTGAAATGACGCAAGTCTGATATTGCCATGGTCAATGAGTCGTACCATATACTACCAGAAAGCAGGTGTTTGCATTGGTCTTTTCAACGCTTTCATGAGTGTGGGAGTCATGGTACCAGCAAGATTTTGTACGAAAACTTTTTAAATATATTACAAAGATCTTTAACTCATAGCTTTTGATACTGATTTCCGTCGAAAGGTTTTCCCTAACGTTCGTTTTCTCTGTTCTACCGTTAGTATTAGCCTTTGCAAAAAGCTGGGTTTGCTCATGACGGTGATTATTAACCGTATCGAGATCGTCAAAGCTAATGAAGCGCAATGATAGTAAATGAATAAAGGAGGCAAGTCTCTAAAGAAACTTTGGTGCTGTGGCGGTGTGAGAGTATAACAGGGTTATTTTGTATTGTCAACTGAGTTGATAACGTAAACTGGCCACCTTAAAGAGTTCCGAAGCTGACGTGTCGAGCGTTAGCCCTCTGTCAGAGCGAATGGCAAAGGGTTAACGCTCGACACGTCAGCTTTCAAACTCTCTACGGTGGCCAATATACGTTATCAACTCAGTTGATAATACTTGATTTTAGATTATCCTTTTCACTATGTTCTCAGCTGGACTAGGTCATATAGGTGAGAATCAGAAGATTTATTAAATCCTCAACAAAAGCTTGACGAAGATCACTAATTTCGACATACAAACACAGAAATGTAAGAAGCAAAAACTATTGGATTGAAGCATTAGCTCAAGTGTGCGGTGAAGGTAGGAGGCGAATAAATAATTTCATTAATTTCAGACGACTTACTTGAGGCATTTCTCTTTCGTCAAAGAAGGCGACAGTTTGATAACCAGCCGCCAAACGCCGAGCGCCCTTCTCGCATTACTATTTACGGCTAATTCACTTGGTAACTGAACTGAACACCTTCGATCTCAGTTACTCTAGCTGCACAGGCAGCAACACTGACCTATGTTTTTCATGACAATGAGTGTGCATGATTTCCTGTTGAAATTCATAAAACAACCTTAGATATGTACTGATGGATAATACTCATCGTAGCATTACTTCACCTTATTCTAGTCAGGTCGGGTAATAATTTACAGAAGTAACTCTCTTCATCATAACTGAAACGAGCAGCTGTTCGTTTTTTAGAATGAGATGAAGGGTTTCTGATTTAAAAGAAGTAACCATAGTAAATCCATGAGATCAAGAAATTCAATTTTGCGCCTTAACGAACAACACGAGGATCGTAATCTTCGTCAAATTCTGGATCAGTCGACTGAAATAACTTAACTGTGTCTTCTTCAAAGTTGCCAGTTAGGTAGTCCGAGATATCTGACCTAGACACGATAAACATAATTAGCGCCTTGCGCGCCAACGCAGTAGTCCTGGCCGTCTCGATTTTCGTACTTTTTTCCTGCTGGGCATTGTTTGAAATTTCTTGTGATGCATTTTTTTGATGAACCATCCTTGCTGTAGGTATGCTGAACACTTGGTCCCGAGTAACACTCACCTAAAAAGTATTTAAACAATACAATAAATACGTCAAAAAGCCACCGGTTATATGTTTCATTTGATTGATTATTAAATATTTTGAATAAACACTTAAGCTTGCAACTGAGTGCACATTAATGTTGTTTGTCTCACCGTGATTTTGCAATCCAAAGTATTCGTACCCAAGCTCCTGAGTAAGTTCAGCACACCGACAAAGTAGGTCACTCAAGTAAGTGTCGAGTTCTCCTAGTTGCGCTTTATGGCCGCTGTATTTGGTTGAGCTCTCATCCAAGTCAGTAAAAATAAGCTCTGGTATAGGCCTGGAAGAGGTTTGCATGTCAGCAAAACAGCCGACATTCTTGAACTTTGTGAAGCAACGTTTCCCTGAGAACATGAGATTTAATTCTTTAGAATTCGCTTTTCGAAATTTTATAAAAATTTATAGAATCTGCTCGAATCTAAAAGAAATTTATCTGTGCACAATTGGAGCAACCTATTGCACTCAGGCTTTTGTTTTTAGTCTACTATTGGGGTGAAATGTCCCCACATTGATGCTTCAGGCCATCAAATAAATTGGCATACGCCCTAACACCATTCCGCACCATTTCATTCATTTCGCACCATTCCTACACCATTTCCGAAACTTTTCTCAGGAAATTCAAGTTTTGGTGAATGTGACCCGAAAACTAAGTTGAAAGGCTAAACTGCCGGTATTAGTAGAAAACATTGTCGAGTGTGTTCGTATCAATAGCTGCCCAACTCCTTCGCAATCAAATCTACCCGATGGCGTCTAAAATCACCCATTTTACCTTTGTCTCACATCGTTGTTCAGCTCTTGTTTACCACTCCAATTTCCAATTGGTTCAGAATCAAGCATTACATATTGTTTACTTTGCTTAGATCTCAGGGGTAACTCAGTTCAAGAAACGGAATATCTTTAATGTTTGTCGTAAAAATGCGATGTGTTGCACATTTACCTTGCTTGGCCTCACTTTCTTTAGGCATCCTGTAAATATATGTGGTAGTCGCGTTTCCGCCGCAAACATTCCTGTCGTTCGTATCACACTCAGCGAATTCCTTCGAGATGCAGAATTCAGACGAATCGTCTTTGCTATAAGTTATGTCTAAATTTTCTCCAGACCAACATTCACCTGGGTATCAAAAGAATTCTCTCGTAAACTTTCAGTCAGAATAAAAAAAAATTTGTAGAAATTAAGTTGAGGATTAATTCTAAGAATTGACGGTTAGCCAGTTTAGCTTTAAAAGTGACTTTCCATTAGTAGACTAAGGTTGGGAAACGTACTTTACGTTACAAAATAGAAAGGCTAAGCATACAATACCTTAATAAGGACTCAAAATGAAGCCAGTCACATAAAAGGAAATTTCAAATTGAATAAAGTGTTGCAGAGTTAAAGTTTATTTTCGACAGGCCGGGCTTTTTGAAACTAAAAGAACTGAGTCCTCTAATTACCACGGAAAAGCTGTATACGCAGCGACTTTGTTGAGGAAATTAAACAAAAAGGATACAGGTAGGTCTAATAGCCAGCCACTGCTATTAAAACACTTTTTCATGGCTGTATTCCAAGGTGCAAAGGATTAACTGTAAGGACTGTAAGATCATTCATATATGGACAGTTTTTTGGTCGCCCTCGAGCAATTTTTCTCAGTCCAGTATCTAGCATTGCAACAAATCTCTCACTGTTTGTTCACCCTTTGTTCGTTTCATATCACATCTGTGCGCCGTCCCATATTACATTGCAACAAATCTGTCACTGTTCGTTCACCCTTTGTTCGTTTCATATCACATCTGTGCGCCGTTCCATATTACGATCGTTCGTCCTTTTTACTCTTCATTCGCGGCTGCTCAAAGTTCTTTGTTTCTTCGATATTTTTCCTGCCCTGATAATTCATTCCCGTCTATAATAATGTTCTTTCCTAGAGTCTTGTTCAGGGCAGTTACTCGAATAGAGATTTCCTTGATGAAAACAAAGGCCGAGGATACTAAAAAGAGTCTTTTTGGACTTAAACCTACCAAAGTTTTTAACCCCGAAGTAATAGAATCCTTCTGCTTTTGAAACCTGAGCACATCGGCAAACCACGTTCTGCAGATAACTGTTCCAGCTTCCCCAGTCTATTGGAACACCACTGAATTTAGAGTCTCTGGCGTCGAGGTCTGTGAACATCAATCTCGGCAAAGGCTTTTGACTTTTTATTGCGTTGAAACAACCTTTTTTGATGAATTGCACAGGACACTCACCTAAAAATGGAAAGAGACGGAAAGTACATTCTTAACTGATTGGTGGATAGCTAACCAACATATCTCGTTCAATTCTGAACTTCTTCAGCTGGCAGAGGAAAAAACCGGCTATTCAGAGCAAGAGTTAAACATTGATGTGAGACATGCAAAATCAAACACTAACAAGATTATGGTTCCTTTTGGTTTTTCTCCTAGATGATTGCTTTGCTTTGAACAAAAGCATGCGAACCCGGTTATTTAGAATTAGGTGTGAAACAAGACCTTTACTACAGTCGGCATGCCTACCATCATAGTGTTCTTGATTCTTGACAAGTGCAACAGCCTTTGACGGTACCATTTTCGGTTGTGTCGCAGCTGTGGGTCAAATAAAAATTACTTCACCCTCTCATTAAACATGAAGTAGACTTGAAAAGAAGAGGAAGAAAATGATATGGTCTTTCCCAATGACAATTTCCAAAAAATCTTTGATAATATAGCAGGCGAAGACTGCAAGAATATAACCAACAGTTCTCAGTTTTTTTCAAGGCATGTCTCTGTTTACCAGTTCTTTCTATCATCACTGATTTTTAAGAAATAAATAACCACAAATTAGATGCCAACGTTGATTCCACGGGATTCTCTCGAGTTATGCAAGATTGTGTGGAATCTAGCCAAAGTAGCTTTTAGAGCTGTTTCGACCCGGTATAAATATTTCGGCAAGATTCTAGTTTCGTGAAGAATTAAACATACATTGTGTGGTTGTTTTAAGCTTATGTGATCTTAAAATTCTTAAAACATCTATGGTTTATTTTCTTTTTAATCGAAAAAACTTACCAGAGCACGATTTGTCGAGAAGAGCATTTATGATTTTGACCAGATCTGTGTATTGATCGACCATAAAAACGTGATTAACATCACCCATAGCTATAGACGTCAATTCGGGTTTATTTACTTCCTTTCCAACTCCAACTGCAATCACCACAACCTTCTTATCCTGTCACATGATCAGAAATTGAACATGTCCTTACGATACCTTATGATTGAATAATAAAACATTGAAATAGAGAGGGTAATCTTTGTAACTCCCAATCCTATGAAGCGACGCAATGCTGGTTTTCTTCCCTTCAGTGAGAGAATATTATTGCATATCAAGAAATATGCAGTGTATCCAACCCTGGTGAGTGAATCTTTACTGTTCAGCAATTTCAAGAAATGCCAAAGAACAAATTTATGGTGTTCTGGCTGGAGATACATGGCTTCCAATTTGTCCTTGATGAACGAAAATACCAAAAGAATACGAACAATTTGGATTATAAGTCAATTTGTATGTTGAAACTTTGAGTAACTATTTTATCTTAGTTTTAAATACGACTTCATGATAATTTCGGTAGCTAGATTTACCAGCACGTCCCTGAATACCTGAGGCAGTTTTAACTCAGAATCTCTTTTTGTCCTCCCGCTCGCGCTCAGCGCTGACATCAAATGGGTAAATAACTCGGTCCGTTACTCACACTACGAACTAGTAAAAGGTGCCTATTCCACAGATGCGACAAGAAATATCGTATTGATCAATTCGGCTTTGATAAGCTGAATTTCTTAAATTTTGCATTAGCATTTTGACAAATTTGGCCTAGATTAAACATTTGCCCTAGCTGAGGAGAACACTAAGTAAACACACTATTTGAGTGACAAATAGTTACAAAAATTTTTTTCATTGTGATCTTATGCAAGCGAAAGAAGGGAATTTACACCACTAAAAAAAAAGGGCCAGGCGTGTGGTAAAAATGAACTACATGGGGACAGTGGTTAACACGAAGTAGAAAGAAACATATCAATTGTACAAAGGGTAATTAAACGTTATGTGATGGATATGTTAATGTCAACAGACTTGGACGCTCGAAAGAGAAGTACCAGCATGACCATGTAATGGGTACCTTGCCCTTGTTTAGATTATACACAACTGTTGAATTACAGCTAATACAATCATAAAAGAAATATTCATCTTTCTCTTTCGTACTTTGTTCCACATCATTAATCAGCACTATATTTGATAACAAAGGGTAGAGGTAACGTAACAACTCCCTTTTACTCAGTGCCTATCGGCCAACTCTGCGTTCGAAGTCAAGTTTTTTTCCTTAGTGGTTCAAGAATACAAAATGGGGGCCCCTCCTCTTGCGATCAAGAACTGAGCCCTCACCCTTCAGTGTGCTTCCACGTAGCAGATACGTCGTACTACAATGCTTAAAATGTACCAATACTTACCTCAAGAGGTTTTAAGACCACTGGGTATGGTTTACTCCTTTCAGGATCCGTTAACCCATCTGTGATAACAATGAGGACATCAGGCTTGTCAAACCGATCTCCTCCTTGCACAGAAAACAGTAGGGTGTTCGCAAGTTCAAGTGCTATATCGGTTCTTGTTCCCTCTCTCAAGTAAGGAAAACTCTTTATCTTTTTCTTTAGACTTTCGGCGTCGTGATATTGAATGTCTTTAAAGCTGAATTGCAGTTCAGCATCACTGCTGTAAACTATACTTCCAAAATGAGTTCCCTTCTGTGACACTTTAAAGTGTTCTGTCAAGTTAGCTACAAACTGTAGACAGAGCTTGTAATTAGGTAGTTTGACACTCTCAGAAGCATCAATGATTACACCGATATCCAGCGCTTGTTCGCAAACTGTAGACAAATAAAACAGGAATAAACGTGAATAAACCTTCCAAGTCTGAGGTTTCCCACCAATTCGTTCAGAATCAAAAAAAATTTGGCCAATTAGCTAACATTCCTTTCCCTCGTACTTAGGCATTGAACTTACCTGGTGGTTTTGGTGTAGGTGGTGTAGGTGGCAAAGGAGTGGTAGTAGGTACTGCAAATGAAAAAAGAAAAGTTTTTTGCTCAAGTACCATTTATAAAAAAAAAGTACGAACCGGAAAGAAAATAGCTCTTTGGCTTCAAAGCAGGAGAAAAAAAATTCCAACGTGAGGTTCTCAGAAAGCAATATCTCTACAGTGTCAAATTATGATCCTATCGTGACGCATTATAAACACAGCGGCCCAACGTCGAGCATGCGCAAGGGGATCCTTACAGCCGGAAACGCACCAGTTTCCAGCGAATTATTGCAAAGGAAAACAGTAGGAAAACAGTACTATTTCATAGAAATAACTGCTGTTTCGCCTTGTGAGCCAAAAAGACTTTTATAGAAATTTGTTAAAAGGAAAATAAATTAGGGAAAAGGAAACTCGTTTGTGTCAAAACTGCTGTAACTTTTTGAACACAAAGCTCATTCAAGCACGGGTATCCGGCTGATTCACCTTTCCGTTTTGGACTACATCAATAAAGTTCTTGCGGTTCTAAAACCGTGACTTTCTAGCTTGTGTGGTTTTTGTAACTCGTGTGAGATAAATTTGGTACTGGCAGCCTGAAAGCACGCCACCTAGTAGTGACAACGTTCGCATGCGCAGACGTTTGACTGTTGTATTCATATTACATGGCTGGAGCTTGTGGCCGATATGACGCGAGCTCTTCGAGGGGAAAATTGGTAAGGACCAAAAATACCCAGAAAGATTAAATTGTATTACATACAGCTAAAATTATCTGAGCAAAAATTAAAAGCTCTACAGCGAAATCCGTAGGTGTCCTTGCCATTCTTTTCTTAAGAGAAAATATCAAACCATGGCCAATCTGTATTAACCTCTCCACCACTCCGTCTCGGAAAAACGTACACTTACCCACAGTTAAGCAACTAGCGCTACAAGTGGTCACCACACTCGTGGAGGTTGCCGTAAGTGTTTTAGTT